TTTGTGGTGGGGGGTGCCCGGGGGTGGGGAGGCTGCGGTGAGGGTAGGCACTGGGACGGGAAGCAGCATTTCTGGTGGGACGCGGTTGCGGTATCAGTGTTATTTGTCCAGGGCATGCAGTACAATGACGTGCTGTTGTCAGTTACGGCTGGGGTAGCAGTGGTATGACTGTGGCTGCATATGCTGTGACAGTGTCTGGAGCAACCTAGAAGGTATAAAATTATTTAATGAGGGTATCCATCTTTCTTTGTTGTAACAAAACCAATAATTCTCTGCACATAAGAAGGTTTTCTCAATAAATGATATTTTTCCACAATTGTTGTTCAAGATTTTCTGCTTCGTCCTTTCAATACCTGGTACCAGCTACTGTAGAAGTATATCTGTCGAATCTGTATCTGTAGAATATCTGCATTTGATAGAGATAAGTATAATGCAACATACCTGGATGGCATCCTTATTTGCAAAAGCAGAGATCAGGTAGAATTTACTTTAAAGGTACTCTACACTTGTGTCTGTCAAATGAATAGCTTCACTGGAAGAACAAAAGGCAGAACTTGTATTTGCCTTTAATAGCAAACAAATGTTTTTGAAAGCATGTATGCAACTGTATCCATTCCAAATTTGTCTATGCTTTCTGATCATATCAGGGAGCTGGATGGATGCACTGAGGTGGTAACATGGGAAAATACAGAAAGGTTATCCTGCTTTACATTAGACTGAAAATAGTTTGAACTGATAGCAAGATAGCCTTTCTGCTTAGGCCTTTGTTAATTGTGTATTTAGGTATACAATCCAGCTAGCTACAAGATAGGGCTTGGGAAAAAAGATCTGGATAGATATTCTACTCAGTAATCATTTCATTTTCTATGCTTTTGCCTGTGTGTGGATTCTGAGTGCTGATTAAAGCAAACTCTGCCAAACTGTATTATAATGCTGTGCTGTGTGTGCAGCAGTGGGTGTATATCAGCAGTTTCTTTAGAAAAACAAAGTTCTGTAGAAAACACTGTGGTTTTTACTCTATTAAAGTTAACAGCTGACTTTAACCTAGTATGATGCTTTAGAGATACAGTACTTACTGATTTCCTCTGAACAAAGCTATCCCATGGCTCAGTAATTCAGCAGTTCTTCATTCTTGATCTCTTGTAGGCTTTGGAATTTTTAGTCAATGTCTATTGCAAATTGTCCTTTGACTCCGTTTCATGTATCAGTACTAAAGGGCTAGTATTCTGTTTCTATTTTACTCATTGTATTTCCTTGCTTTTGCTTTTAGCAGATACCGTAGATTTTCCACGTGCCCTTTTTCTGCAACCTCTGCCTAACTCTTCTAGAGTAGCATTTCTTTGTGTGATTAGTGTCACTGATGTCAGCGGAGAATAGATTTTACTCGGTGTGGATAACAGTTGCAGAAATAGGTCCTAAATTCAGAATGTCTTCAAAGCAAATGCAGTTGGTAGTGGCTTGGGTTCTAAGGGCTTCTGTGTGCAAGTGCCATAAGGGGCTTTTGGCTGCTGTCATTGATATTCTTCTTTTTTTTTTTTTTTTTTTTTTTTGGCCCCCACCAAGAGGCAAAACAAATAGGCCAGGGAAAATCATTCTGTGACTGCAAATTAGACTATTTTGAAGATTAGCTGTATTACTAAGCAGTCTCTGTCAGGAAAGTCATGAAGATCATGAACGTCAGCACCATTCTTCTAGTCTCTCAATTGATGTATAGTGCCCATAGCTTTCTAGACGCTGCATAATCCATTAATAAAATACTGCTTACATTTTATATACATGCAGTTTGCACTCCCTCAATCGTAAACAGACTTTCTAAATTATTTTTACAATTACAGAGAATGCTAGAACCTAAGTCACTTCCACAGAGTCGGTTTATGAAGTGAAATTTCTGTCATTGTAAAATTACTGTCAAGTCTGGTGGTGTGGATCTATCTGTATCTTGTATGTGCAGTAGCCACTTGCTCCAAGCTTTCTATTTAACGTTTACAGCCTTGATTGGTTTTGTAAAAGAGCTTTGTTTACCTGTGACTGGTGTTCATAGAGACTAAAGCTTTCCTTTAATATTTGGCAGGCCAGAAGAATGTTTGAGGGAGAAATGGCAAGTTTGGAAGCCATCTTGAAAACGCAGACGATAAAAGTGCCTAAACCCATCAAAGTTATAGACCTGCCTGGGGTCAGTACTCTGTTTGTGATGGAACATTTGGAAATGAGAGGCTTAAACAGGTGAAACACAGTATTATCTTTGCATCCTTTAACCAGAAATGTTGACTATTATGACAATTAAGTCACTTGTTTTCAGAGGGGAAAGTTGTTTTAATTTTTTTTTAAAGCAAGTCATAGAATAGTTTGGGTTGGAGGGGACCTCTAAAGGTCATCTAGTCCAACCCTCCTGCCTTGGGCAGGGCCAAAGTCAAGATACATTTGGGAAGTTATACAGCAGAGAACTGTATAAAATACTTCATAATGCTTCACCTAGCAAATAGGTCATACATCAAGAAGTGAGTGTGTTTTTTGTTTAGTTTTGGGTTTGTTTGGGTTTTTTTGTTTGTTTTCGTTTTTTTAGGTAATTAGTGATTTTTACAGTAAGGTTCCTTTTTACAGTAAGGAAAATGACCTACCTGATCACCTGTTTTGTGTACTTGCCTTTGATATAAGAACCAGTGTTTAATATTGCTTGTCATGAGTATGCAGAGGCAATTCCCCAAGTAAATGAATCCTGATTTCAGTATTTTTACAACTCTCACCTTGATTTTGATAGATTCAAACTTTTGGCCCTTCTCTGTGGGAAACACTTGAGTAAATTAAAACATGATGAATACTACTGTCTGATTCCGTTAGGGAGGTGGGCATGACCAATTTCTTATTCCAGTCTCAGAACTTCTGCAGCCAGCTTACAGTTCATCCTGCTCATCTGCAGAGTTTCTAGCTCATGAAGAGCCCTCAGTGAGCTCTAAGAGCAGAAATCCTGTTGTGTTTGGGCTGATTGAGATGAAAAGAGTGCAAATGCAACCTTTGGCATACAAATTTCAGAGGATAGCTACAATCTGTGTTAACAGGAACAAAATGAAGAAATAACTCTGCCTTAAATGACAGTGCCTTGAGAGCAGGGAAAGATGAGAGAGGTCAAAGACAGGAAAAGGAATGTACTTTTGTAAACATGGGAGGCAACTGGCTCTAAGAGTTGTTTGTAATTACTGCAAGACTTTTCTGAACTGTGTAGAGTAAGTTTTTATCAAAAATAGATAATTAAGTAAGGCCCACGTGCCTCTTCCATCTTCTAGGCCTTTTAGAGAGGAAAAGCTGGAGACAGAGAGACAGAGCTATAAAGAAGAGGCTGAGTCTTGTTTGGCTCTATTTCCCAAAGACAGTTTGCCCCCCGCCCCCCAAACCAACAAAAAACCCCGTAACATGTTGTGCATGCATTTCTTACATATATCTTACTGAAAGTTCATATAGAAGAGATCACACAGAAATTAGAATTGATAGTTTCTCATTGTTATTAAATTTACGATTGCTGCTCACTTTCACTTTTAATAGTGTTGTCAGAAACAACCATGTAAGTGCATTTTATTCTATGTTAATACGTAATCTTTATAGGAAGAGGAGGTATTTATAACCAGAATGTTTTGAAAATGTACTTTGTTAGAGATGCAGAACTTCTTTTACTTGCTTGATAAATCTTTTCAAGTAACTCCTGGAATATCAAGAACTGGATTCATTCATGTGTCAGTTTTGCTAAGAATACTTTTGTTTCTTAGACATCCAGCAAAGCTTGGAACACAGCTGGCTGATCTCCACCTTCATAACCAGCAACTTGGAGAGAAGCTGAAGAAAGAAGAGAGCACAGTTGGTACAATACACAGTTGTTTGCAGATTTAACCTAGTCAATAATAATCTACAAAATAGTTAAAATAGGTTTTGTTATTTCAGGATAAGTTCATCTTCTTCCACTAAAGATACTATGAACATAGATTTGGACGAAACACCCAGGCAGGGGGTCTTCTTTTTGCTTTTGTTTGCTCTGTTTGGATCTCTGTAAGCAAAACATTTATTCAGTTTGGGACCCTTGGGATCCCGAACCACAGTTTCTGCAAGGAAATGGTATCAGAGGAGATACACTACCTCAAAATATGATTATGAAGATTATAGTATAGCTGCTTTACATCAAGCTTTAAACTTAAAAACCAACAGCAACAACCATTGTAACAAAAAGAGTATTAAGGTGCAATTTTTTTTAGAAGCAGCATTGTACCCATGCGTAGTTTTTAAGGTCCATTTGCGTTGTAGATACTTAGAATCTTGTCATTAGTATTGGATTTTTGTCTTTGGTTTGAAAGGTAAAGGTCAAGGGCAAATGGAAGTCCAGTTTGTGGATCAATTTGGCTTTCATACAGTTACCTGCTGTGGCTATCTTCCACAGGTAGGTTGTACTTCATCAGACTGATAGAATTTTAAGTTTATCTTATTTTCCCTTCAGTGACACAAAGGGCCACAATTATCATAATGGAAATTGATTTATTTCTGTGGTGTCATAAAAAGAAAAAACATTGTTCAGCCTCCTAAGGCAAGTAGTGCTTTGGACAGCACTTACAGCTGCATTGGACATTCATAGCTCTTCAATTTCTTGGTTTTTATCACTTAGAGAAAATTATTTATTCCCCTAATTTAATGTTTTAAGGTAACATTCTATTAAATGGTAGTATTTACTGTCCTGGATGGTATCGGCACAAAGGCTGTATAATCCTCAAAAGCTTTATTTGAAAAAGAAGAAAATCTGACTCTTGCATGGTGTAGAACTAACATCTGCAATCCTCTTCCTTCAGGTGAATGACTGGCAGAATGACTGGGTGACTTTCTTTGCCAAGCAAAGAATCCAGCCCCAGATGGACATGATTGAAAAGAATTCAGGAGACAGGGAAGCAAGAGAACTTTGGGCACAACTTCAGGTGGGAGAAGTTCTCTCAGTTCTCATTATAGTGATAGCTAGGTATCAGTTGTTTAGATTTTCTTTTCATAAAACAAAGTTCCTGTTTGTTGGTATGCTCCAGGTTCTGTTGGTAAGGGACTCCAGCTTTTAGGGATTAAAATGCCCTTTATTTTAAGGTATAATGGCTTTTGCCACACCACCCTATGCTAATATTCCAAAGTGAATGTGTGCCAAATAGCACTTTGCCTTCCTGTTTGGGAAATACTAGATCAAGTTCACGTTTCTCATTCCCTGTAACATGTTCATGATGAGAAATGTATATAAGCAGTACTGTTCTGCACATCATCTATTCACTTAAGGTTTGCGTCTGATTAAGTGACTGCAGTATTAGCTATTTGGGTAGCACTTCACAGAAATCCCTTCAAAGTTTGGTGAGAGATTCCTGAGCCTTCTAATGATGAAGTAGATGGTTGTGGTGGTTGTTGTTATTAAAACTGGTCAATATTACAGCACCGAATGCAGTTTTAATTTTTTATTTTCTTAGTGCTAAAAAACATTTGGATGACTATTCTTCAGCTGCTGGCTTTTATGAAAAATAGAAATCCTCTTGATTTTCTCAGCATCTCTGTTGACTAGGTCCTGTGCTGTTTCAAGTTACGGGTTTTTTTAACGGACTTTTAAGAAGTTTCAGTTCATGCTCTGCATGTATGCAGATAAAACTCTGTAATCATTCACCTTAAAATGTAGTACTTACATGTCTTGCTTTTTTTCCCGCTGCAGCTGAAGATACCCAGTTTGTTCTGTGACGTAGAAATTGTTCCTGCTCTCCTGCATGGCGATCTCTGGGGAGGAAATGTAGCTGAGGATGATTCTGGTCCAATTATCTTCGATCCGGCTTCTTTCTACGGCCATTCAGAGTATGAGCTTGCAATAGCTGGAATGTTTGGTGGCTTCAGCAGTTCTTTTTACTCTGCTTACCACAGTAAAATTCCCAAAGTTGCAGGGTTTGAGAAACGCCTAAAGCTTTATCAGCTTTTTCACTACATGAACCATTGGAACCATTTTGGTACAGGGTACAGAGGGTCTTCAGTAAACATTATGAGAAACCTTATAAAGTGACTTTCTGCTTAAGCAGAATACTTCCTATGTTGCTTGGAAACCCCCATACTTGGCGGTGCAACTACAGGAGTAGTAATGTTCAAAAAAGCTACTAGACCCTTGACTTTGTTGCACAGCTAAAGACCTAGAATCAGTGAGT